TTTACTTCACACTATCGTAGGAAACGCAAATTTTTTAATGCACCACCATAATAAAGCACTATGCTCCTAATTCCGCGAAAGGAGATAAAAAATATAATAGTAACATTGCGGCCTAGTAGAGGGGAGGAAACAACGAAACGGTGGAAAATTAACGAAAAACCGGACTAGCGATATTTTCCTCTGGATGTGCAGTTGTAACTTTTTTCATTACACGCACTTTGCGGTCAGCAACCGCGTGGTAGGAAAAATAGGAAAACGCGAGGACATAAAATAAATCGTGAGTAGAAGAAAAAAAAAAGGTTATTCATGGCTGCGTGTATTCTGGTGAAAAGATCTTGTCCGGGAAAGAATCTTGAGAAGATTCAAATATCATGTTAATCGTTGCAATTTTGTATATTTTCTTATTTTTCTTTTATCACAACAAAATTTTATGACAATATTTTGAAACCTTGGAAATGACGGTTACATATAGTAGTAACGATTCGTATAAATATGATTAACAAATATATATATACTATAATGTGGACATTGCATGACATAAGTGGAACGTCAACATGGCCCAATTGCAACATCGAAGCAAAGCTACGTGGTTATGTATATTGCGAATCGGATTTAAGTACCAGTAATCTAATTATTATTCCATGCCCACGGCATGCATCGATTATCGATATGGCTATGTCTCTAATTGCAATCCCAGCCATTGGCCTAGTAAGAGGACGGACCGCGATGGCATCAGTTACATTGGGCTAATTATAAAGGGATGACGCTACAGAAACGTGTGATTGCCTCGCAATTAATTATCGCTATATGATACGAAATAACTATTTGATAAAACATATTTAATCAGACTAATACTTGGAAACTTATTAAATTTTTCTCACGCTTTCTAATTAGAAACAATTTAATTAAATTGTGATTGAGTAACATATATAATATCGTACAGACTCAATCTCGTAACATTTTTTAAAAATTATCGCCATTATTTACTTCTACCAGTTTCTCAATCTGTAGAGAATGAGATCTATTTTTAAAATCTTACAAATTTTCTCCTGAGTAAGATTTATTATTTTGTTGTACCTCTTCAAAATATGACATTGTTTCAACGCCACTATAGTAACTTTCCTATTTTAAAAGTTCCTATTGTAAAAGTTAAACTCAATATGATCTTGATCTTTGTAATTTTTCTCATGATGTTTTTAAAAAATAATGTCGAGGATTAAAAGTCCGGCGAAACTTTTTAAGTCTCTGTCTTGTGTTATATTTCGAGATTAAGATATACATCCTCTTACGCGATAGTTTGCGTAGAATCCTTCTCTTTCGTCGGGACGAAATGTCAGATAAGTTTCGTTACGGCGGCACCGGCATTCACCGGAAAGACGCCACCGCCTATACACAGGATGCCCATCATCGGAAAGAATTCCGCGCGCGTTTCACATACCGACGTCAACGTCGCATGCAAGGCGAGGGATTGAAATAAGTCTTCGATATATATTTCCTGCATTCCACATGAGAAATGCGCCGGGTGATATTTAGACAGGGTACCGTCGTCGTGTAGAATAGTGAAAGGAGATTGCCGTCGCCTCTCACCGAGAACTCGAACGGGATTGATGTACATTTTTATCGCGGTGGAGAATCGGGACGCCCTTTGAAAATTTATAATGCAATAACGCCCCCGACGCCGTCGGTGCCGTAAATATCTGGCTGTGCTGCATACGAGATATTTGTATTGCGAAGGTGAAAAGCAGTGCCCTTGCAAATCGAGATTTTCATCCTTTTTTTTTTTTACTGATATCTCGAGAAAAACGTGTGATATTGTTCAAGCAACTCTATTTCAGGCATAAAAGAGAATATACGAAGATATTTTGCACACTGACAGTATTTTAAAATTTTTCCGCGACAAATTATTTTCATGATGCTGATTGCAGACGTCAAAAAGAAATAACGAAACTCACACGAACTTATATGAGTAAAACTTCCGAATTTCTACTCGACCAACAGATAAAATGTTTCGTTCCGCAACTTTCTAGAAATTGTCCGTACATTTATGTGTCTCGAGGCAAAAAGGGAAAAAATTCTTTCTAGACTGACGCCTGCGACTATGTGGACTCGTGCGTAGTTTTAAAATCGTCGTTAGAAATATGGAAATGAGAGAGAAACGTGACGAAGGATGCCTTCCATTTAATGACTCAAAAAATTTAATAATTTCAAAAAAGATAGAACGACGTTTGTGTCAACTTATGTTACTAAATGGAAGGCACCTGAAGTGAATTTATTTTTTCCTCGTGAAATCGAAAATCAAAAGGCATCTTGTAGCAATCTTTCAGCTCCGTGACATGATATATAGTTAATAACAATTATTTTATAAAAATATCGCAGACAAATTGTCTTGTTTTTTCACACGTTATCAAATAATTTCAATAATATTATTTTGAAGTTTCAATGTCGATATACACTATTCAATAAAAAAAAAAGAAATTATTTTTAAAACGCTTAAAATTGTAAAATTTTCAGACTATTGAAACTCGATGAAAAATTATTGCAGATAAAAAATAAAAAATGCATTTTAAAGCTTGGAATTTGTATTTTTAGAATGCTTTTAGCCATTTTTTGAAAATTTTTTATCTTTACAGTTCTATTTCTTACAAAAGATTACATTGTTTTGTTAAAATTACGTTAAAATTACGTACATTTAACACTGCAGTTTACTGGAAACATTTTGTTCAAAAATTGAAGACATTTACAAAAAAGTATAAAATTTTTGTCTACAACATGTTTTTTTCTCTCAAGGTTTTTTTTTTTTTGCTAAATTATGCGACTTTGAAGTTTTTTTATTAAATTACGCGACTAAACCTGTAGTTTGTCGCGTAATCAACGTTGAAGTTTGGCAAGAAACCATCGCCTACAAAAAATTAAAAAAAGTATTTTAAAGCTCGAAGTTTGTACTTTAACATGCTTTTGATCATCTTTGAAAAGTTTTTATCTTTACAGTTCTGAGCTTCAAAAAAGAGAACATTATTTTGCACTCTAAAATAATGTACATTCAACACTACAATATGATAAAAATTTTCTTGAAAAATTTAGGACAAAATCTAAAACATTTTTTCTATGAAACATTCCGTTTATATATATTTTTATCAAATTACGCGATTTTGAAAATAATTGGAAGTTATGATGCATGAAGAAGGCATTTTTTCCAGATATATAAACAACTATAATCTTATATTATCTTGATGAAAATAACGGAGAAACTTAGCCTACTTGTCCGACTAACGAGCGTAATTATAGGAAACTCAGTATTGCGCGAAATACACAGGTGCTGTAATGATGTAACTTGGAAATTACCTTTAGGAATTGCTCACGCGGGAGCAATTAATACGCGACGCTCTCGGGAGCAATGCCTCAAAGCGTTAACCGTAATTTCAATTCATTAACGACTACTAACGCACAAGACACTCGCTAGCTTAGTAAAGAAATTGAGAGTAATGCTTGCTACAATAAGGGCGGAAAATTATGGATTATATGTTGGCAATTACTTTAACTCGAAGATATTATATATTCGTGGAAAATTAAATTATATGTAACCGGCGCTTTTCTCAAGAGAAAGATTGAATCTTCTGTGCCTCTTCCATCAAGTATTGATAAAAGGAATTAAATTATAAAAATATATTAATTTCAAATAATTATTTGTTTATCTTTTAGATGACATCATTTCAAAAAAAAAAGTATTTATAATAATATATAAAAAAACATATAAAAAACGTATTTCTTCTTCAGAGTTAAATATTATTAAGTGAGTCATTTGCTTTAACGTTATAAACTGACTCGATTGTCTGAACACAATGTTCTTATAAATTATTTTACTAGTGCCACATTTTTCGTATCTGCAACACTTTCATATTTGCACTTAAAAATAATTTGATTAAACTATCAAAATACTTATGTAGGATATTCAAGTTGCTAGAATATCAAAATTTTTTACAGCATTGCTCATCATACAAATTAAGTTTCTGTGAATAATTGCTAGAATATCAAACTAATTGCTAGAATATCGATACTTTTTGCAATATTGCTCATTATGCTTGAAATTTCTAATTATTTTAATGACTCAATAAAATTATTTTCAAATCTGCAATTAGGTAAATTTTTATATACTTTCGTAAATCATTCTTTCTATATATTTTCGAAACATATCCGTATATTATTACAAAATTGCATGAAAGCAATGTGATCACAATTCAAAAAAATTGACCCTTTAAAAGTTTCAAGCGGTTCACTCTTAATTCAGACAATGTCCTACATTGTCCGATTCTTATGTTGTCACAAGACAGTCTTAACCCATTTTGTAACATCGTGGCGAGAAGCAAGCGGTGCTGGCAAGGAATTACGGGCGCTTTCGACCCAGACGACCTGCACCCGACATATCCTGGTACCGGTGATATATATTCGAGAACGCCGTGCGGCGACACGCGTTGGCTCGAGAGTCCACTCAAGTTACGCGAGCGGCGTAACTATTGAAAATTATGCGCCTTATCGTGCGACTTCATTCGCGTTCACGTCTCGGGACCAGCATTAAAGTCTTCGGGATGATCGAACAAAGATGCGACACTAGCTTGCTTAGCTCTGATCTCTTAAATTAGCAACACGCATTTCATCTTAAATAACATGTTCATTTGGAGATATTAATCCTACTTAAGTACCAAGTCTATTGTTCCATTATTATACAATATGACTTATGACCGATTATCTCTCAGTTAGCCCCATTATATCACTCTGACGTTTGCTCTATGCATCCGATGTGAACGAACGGACTGAATTGAGTTCCTGGTCAATTTATCATGGCGTTTGCACGCAGGAAAGCCAGATAGAAACGAAATGAAATCCCCCGCCGTCTGGGAGAGACTACTAGAGGTCATACGGTCCGCGGAGATTTTACCTCCGAACGTGGAGAGCTTCAAGGCAGATGGTAATATGTCTTTTCCTTTTTCTTCGGACTGTTGCAGATATCCAGGAGTTTTACGAGCTGACGCTGCTCGACGAGTCAAAATCGGTACAGCAGAAAACGGCAGAGACGATTCGCATCGCGGACAAATGGGAAGCCAGCGACGGGCCAATCACGCCGACCTTTGCTCAAAACGACGTGAGTACAGTTATAAGACCTCCATTCATATGCATGCATCTCGCGTCATTCGCGAATTGCACCGTGAATTTTTCCGAGCAGATATAGAGAGGTGCGGCGTGTCGAAGCTGGTAATAAATCTCGATGAGATGCAATTTCGACGCGAGGCGAAAATGAATCTCTGTGTTCACTCGTTTCGTTATTCTGAACGAAATTGTTGAAATTGAAATCCCGACAATTTTGGCACGGAAAATAGTACGAATATATAATTCGTCGTAGCGAGTGTTGATCATACCTCGCGCGATGGTGGCGTAATTAGCGTTAGTAATTATAATTGGCGAGTCGATTGGGCCGTAGGATATCATGCGGGTCCAATCAATCGGCCAGTCTACCGATTTTAATTGCTAATTGCGGATCGCCCGTCCGCAATCGACATGCGCCGTCGCGACGTCATATCGATGCCTCTGTCATAATGGCGAGCGATCGACGTGACATTCAACTGATGGGACGATTGTGTATAACAGCTGTATGCACCTCGCGCAACCTCAATCGCGACCACTTGACTCTTCCGGATTAATTCGATCGTTGAAATAATCACATCGTGACATCTACGAAAGAATCCTCGATAGCCGCCATTCTACAAGAAAATTGAATAAATGACATTCTTCGAAAACGTCACATTTATCGACATGATTAATATGTTACTTAAAAACATACCAAATGTTCATTATAATATTTGCATAATGATTTTTTATTTTTGCTTTTACAGTGAATGTGATACCAATTTAATTACTGAAAGACAGTAATTAATTAATTATTTTAAGTATTAAAATATTGTAATTCAAAGTGTTTAATATTTCACATAATTAATTACTATCTTTCAATTTATTAAATTTATCAGTATTAGATTTCTGTAGAGGTAATTATTTATAATTAAAAAAGATATTTTTATGTAATAATAAAAGTGATTATTTCTGTTACTAAAAGTATTATATTGTAAATTTAAATGAATATTAATATAATTTAATATGAATATTATTAAATTTGTTTATTTTTGTTATTGTCATATTTTTAATTAATTCTTTTTAATTAATTCGTCTTTTTCTCTTTTTCAATTTTTAAAATGTAATTGGTTATTATTATTGTTGTATATGAATTACAATATGTATTAAATTTTAAATTCATTTCTCTGAAAAGAATTGTTGCATTACGCAACAAAATACATTGTGTTGATACGTTGATCAAGCGTGAATTAATTATTTAATCAACATCATTTTTCAAAATAATTTTGCAAAGCCAATCAAAATATACTAATAAATATTGACGCTAAATATGCTTCTATTTCCAAACTGTAGTATGAATTTCTACTAAATTAACATTTTGCAGTATAATCAATTTTTAACATAATCTCGCTTGAACAATTGCTTTCCATGCATATGAAGAACGCAAATTGTCAGCAGCAGTAGAGGCACGAAGAATGCGTGCAAGGAAAAGTCTTGGTATTTTTATTGCTCTCCGTATATTTTCAACTTCTTTTGAATGCGCAGCGTTCACGAGTGACGTTTATATAGTGCATTCCGGACGTACATTTCATCGCGTGAGTAGATATCCCATTTTCACATTTACGTGTGCGAAAAATATCCCAAGAAATTCCTGTGAGAAGGGGAACATAAAAGATCCGCATATTTTCATTCTTCAAAGGTGTTAATCATCCAAGCTTAACGCCTTTCAAGTATGTATAAAAGACACGCGAGACACTGCAAGCTCTGTTACTCCATAATAACATCCTGCTTTTGCGCAGATACAATCGAAATTAAAGAAATACAAGTGCATCATATGGAAATCGTATTTCTTTCCATCGACATTTTCCGATATTTTAAATAAAGTTTTCTTGCATTTTCTTTACGGTGTACAATTAAGAGAAAAGAACAAAGCGAAATATTAATGAAGTTTTCCGAGTTTGCGCTCGTTTTACAATTATGCCAATGCACGCGCGCCGGGCAAAAGCGGATTACACCGCAGATAACAATGTTTCATACTGAAGTATCATCTCCCTCTCTACTTCTCTCTTTCTCTCTCTCTCTCTCTCTCTCTCTCTCTCCTCTCTCTCCTCTTTTCTTCTCTTTGCATATAATAAGCTACTATATAAGGAATAGGCAGAGTGTCGACACGCAGATGCAATATGTACATACATCCACCTATTCCGCACATATGCACGTGCTCTATTATGTAGTACATACGATCGTATCATTATACCTAAGTAAACATTATTGTATATATTGGCATTGCGATTGAATTTGTTCGTTATGGGCCATAATTTGATCGAAATTCTGCCTGTATTATTATTTTTAGATATTATTGACTATATTTCTTTTTCCGCCAATTAATTTTATATAATTTCACAGATTGCCATTTTAAAACATTTTTATTTTAATTTTTAGCAATTGTTTAATTTAATTGCAATATTTTACAATAAAAATTGACAATTTTGCTATTACATTACACACACACACACACACACACACACACGCGCGCGCGCTCACGCACACTTTTGAAAAGAACATAGAGATGAAAGACTTATATACTATAATCAATATGAAGTGTTATAGAAACTAAGAGATTAACACTAGAGATGAATCAATACGTTGTAATACCGCTACTGACACACACACAGTAAATATAATTCGCAGAAATTACGTTATAATTAAATCTCATTATATTGCGCTTGATCATGCATCATACCATCTGAACAGCTCAGTTAAAATAGAGCATTAAATTAATCTCAATTTTATGTCAAATTTAATACAATATTTTAATGAAATACTTTCCATGTATCACCATTATATACCAGTAAGAGAAAAAAGTATTCGTACAAGGAAATTTATTATAAAAAAAGCTTTATTTGTAGAAAATAAATATTAATTAGCAATTTTATACAATAAATATATTCTGTTCTAATATTAACGAGCTTCGCATGTATTCCTGATTTTAGAAGCTAAATTTCTCGTCTGTATGAATACTTTTTGAGCATTCAAACAATATAATTTTTAATTTTTGCTTATTTTTCGGTGATATATTTTGTATAATTATTACATATATATAATTTTTTAAGAAACATACAGTCTATTTTATTCTTTATGAATAAATTGTCCATTATGAATTAATTATCCAACAAGAAATGATCGTCGAATTGACGTCAAATTAGTGTTAAAATCGAATTTATATCGATTCGACATCAATTCAATGATTCATTTCTCGTTGAATAATATTTACTTTTTAAAAATAAAGTTTTGTAAAAAAATATTTTCTCTACGAATATTTTTTGTACTCACTATATATAATTTTTGATTGAATTTTTTTTTGAAAGAGTCGTTGGTTTGCTCGCAGTTTTATCAGAAATACATATATACGAAGAAAGAATAAAGAGATTGGTTTATTCTTCATATTTATGATACAGCATACTGCCAATATGCAAGTAATTTACGAAATAATGTCTTCTGTTCAATTATTGTGATTTTTTTTTCGATTTTGCAACAAAATTATTTATAATATTCACAGTAAACAATTGGCATTTCAATTGTTTTATATATTTAGAGAATTTATAATAAATAATATTATTATTAAAAGAGCAAAGAGGAAATATATAACATCGATTCTATACGTATGCATGAAGTACAGCAATTTTTAATTTAAATCAATTGAAATGTGAATTTGATCAATCCTTGTTTAAAACAATCATTATATAAGAAATAAATTTATTATTATATAAGAAATAAAAGCATTGCTTTCATATTATTTAATTTTAAAATAATCAAAAATCAGAAATGGTAATAGGAGTAAAATCCAAAAATTCAAATTGCAGTTCTCTCTTTTTATTAAATATTTAATAATTTCATATTTTATTCATTGTTTATATATCGAATGCTCTATCATTGCGACATAATTAAAACTAACCGCCTGATTGATTAAATGCTTGCAAAACAAAATCGAAAAATATTTTATTCCCAATTGTAATTACCAAATGCATGCTTTTTTCATGTACCGCGTTCGCTAATAGATATGTTTAATATATGTGAAATATTTCTTTTATATAGCTGAAATATTTTCCTATAAATAATGTGAAAGATAATAGATTTTTAGTTATTAGATCAATAAAAAAAGAAACAATGAAATAAAGAAGATAAAAATCTTGTCTTTTCTTTTAATAAACAATTGAAAACTTAAAATGGAACAGAATCTCGATTTGAATTACTAGTTTTCTTTCTAATGAGAGATCTATTTTTTCATTCCTGCACTTTCTAGTGTATCTACACAATGCAATAAATTGAAGTGAAATAAATACGATTGTTAGGCCTTCGACAATTATGAAAATATATACGACGGCCGACTGAATTTTCAACAAGAGAATATAATTTTTGCTTTCAACAATATCGTTTTATTAATCAAATTCAATTACCATAAAAAAAATCGTAAAAAAAGAAAGAACGTTTAATTTGTTCTCGAGGAAAACGATAAACCGACGCAACAATATCGAATGATACATATCGCCGCGCGTCATGTACTGTCACGTATATGTAACACTACATAACGCTCTCAAAACAACAGTTAACAACTTCTAATGGCGCATTAAACGCGAGCCATTACCGTTGTGAAACAACGCTTCTGTTCTTTGTATGACGGCCGCTTTGCCATTCGCTAACCGTCAAAACTTCGATACACATTACTGACTGGTTGTACGTTTGTTCGTTGGGTTTTACGAGATAGTTTAAATTCAAACAAAAATAGACGTGACTCCAAAACAGCGCGTTTGCAACTGATAATCCTAATTATATACATAGCAGAAACATTGTAATGTTTATGATTAAATGACTTGACTCAAATCAACGTCCATCCGAGATACAGAAATTTCATACTAATTTTGAAGGATGCGAAAATTAAATGCACTCGAAAATCATACGTAGAATTAGAAAGAAAATAACATCAGAAAGTTGAGTGAAAGGATGAATTGTGAACACGAAATA